ACCCTGAGACAAGAAGAAATAGATGGTACTTGGCTACCACTACCAACCATCTGACCAAGGACACAACAGAAGATCCCAGGTAGAATGGGAGAAAAATGTAGAAAACTCAAATTCCTTAAAAAAAAAAAAAAAAACAGATCTCCTAGTCCTTTAGAGAGTAGAAGAGTCCCCAAGAATATCGCCCTAAGATAACCTTTAAACGTGGAAATGAAGCTATTTTTTGCAGGTCCCCTTTCAGCCAAATAAGATTGGCTTATAAAATAAACAACACCCATGAGTAATATGTTCCCTTAAAAACAATAAACTATGTGAAGCCAAATACCCAACATTTACCCAAAAGCAAGGAGGGGAAGGGAAGCTAGATCAATGGAAACAGAACAGAAATAACAAGCATGCTAACACAATATAAAAATGCTAACCAAAGACACAGAAGAATCGACGTAAAATTGTTAAAAGGGGAAACTAATATGCCATGTAAACCTTCACCTAAAACGCACACACACACACACAAATACAACTTTTGATAAAAAGAAATTAAAGAAGAATAAATTTGAACAAACTTCCTGGAGAACAAGGTATCAAAGATGTAATATAACCTAAGAAAACAACCAAATATGTATCAAAAGATTCTTAAGGGACTGTTATTGCAGTATTATTTATATTAGCAATAAACTAGGAGTAACCTAAATGTCTAAAAATAGTAAAATATTTAAATAAATTACAGAACAACTATTCAAAAGAAAAGTTGATGCTAGCTTTAAAATATATGTTTATAGAACTCATATAAAAATTTAAGGTAGCATATTATAAAACAAAATCTATAATAAAATTGTTTCACTTATATTTAATTTTATAAACACACAGAAAAAAAAAAAGAATGGAAAAATATACATAACAAAATTTTAACACTTCTAGTGTTATAGTTTTGAAAAATATTTTCTTCCTCTGGTTTTCTGTAATTTTTCAAATTTCCAAATTAGGAGTTCTGGTAAGATGGCAGAATAGGCAGAAAGACTGCATAGACCCTCTTCAACACAGAAAAGGGGAATCAATTAATACAGATACAGAAAATAACCCTGGACCCCTGAGCCCTGAATGGAAGGATACAGAAGTGGACTAAACTCCAACTAGCAGAAGAATTTGCATGAAAACACCAAAAAAGGAAACATATGGAGCTGTGGTCTGGCAGCAATCCTGATGGCACAGACAGCCTGGATATTGCCAAGTGTGGCAGGACCTAAGAATTAACCTAGAAATCAGCCCTGCTAACCAGGGACTGCACAGACGACTGCTCTGGTGGCTGGGGGAAAAAAAAAGGGGAAGCAGCAAAGAGGAAGGCAGGCAGAGCTGTGGACTTATATCTGTCCAGAGGATGTAGCCATTTTGAATGTTTACAAGCAGCTTGACCATTTTGGATATTTAAAGTGACAGCATTCTCCCAGATTCCAGGGACTTAAGAACAGGATCTACTTGCCAGGAACCACAAGGACATTCCGGCCATGGACAACTGGAAAGATGCTACATTCCCTTGTTACTCTTTTACCCCATACCCTCTTGGTGAATGGAGGTACGGCCATCCCTCACTCCCACCCACCTTCTGAGATGACAGGAATTCCATCCCAGTCTATGTGCTCAGACGGAGCCTGGGTGCCCTACCCTGCCCTGCCCTGCCCTGATTTTTTTTTCTGTTTTCAGTCTTTTAGTTTGTTTGTTAAACTACTATCATTATTATTACTTTTGTCCTCTTTACTATAATTTTTTATTCTTCCCCTCCCAGGTTCTAGTTTTCAGCTTTTTTTCCTTTCCCTGTCCCTGGTTGCAATTTTTTTTCTTTCTTGTGGTTAACCCAGTTCCTTTTCTTTCTGCATTTTTCCCATTTTTTTCTCCATTATTCTCCTTCTTTACCTTTTGTCTCTTATTGCCCTCTCCCCAGATACTGCAGGGTGTTCTGTTTTTTGTTTTTTGGTTTTGGTTTCCTTTTCCCTTTTTTTCCTTTTTTGGTTACTATTCCTATGTGATACACAGTGTGTTTTTTGTCCATTTGCTTTTTCTTTTTTGATGGTTATTCAATTGTTATTTTTGTCTAACTGACTGGAAGACAGCAACAGTCCCCATACAACACAACTATACCCACACATCCTGCAGCTTCACTTACTGAGTGAGAGCCACCACTTCTTTCCCCACCAAAGGGCCAACAATAAACAACCATCAAGAACAGCCTGACTCGCCCTTGGCTGTTCTTCACAAACAGGTAACAGAGATCTAAATACAACAACACCATGATACCTCGGAGACAACAGACCATCACAGTCCACACAAAGAAGCAAGATAAAGTGATAGACACAAGGGAGCAGGATACAGACCCAGAACACATCTCTGAGGAAGAAGCAGCATTGGAACTCTCTGATAAGCAATTCAAAAGAATTTTATTTAGATATCTTCAAAGGATTGAGAGACAGACCAAGAAAAACACAGACAAAACCCTAGAAGAATTTTGGAAGAAAATACAAGAACAATATGACAAAATCAATGAAAAATTAGAAATGATTCTAAATCTACAGATAGAAATCAAGAAGATTAATACTAAATTGTTAGAAATAGATAACACATTGAAAGGGCAAAGGACTAGAATTGATGCAATGGAAGACAGAATTAATGAGATTGAAGACATATACTGGAATACTTCTTTGGAAAGGGATCAATCAGAAAATAGATCAAAACAAAATGAAGAAAGTCTAAGGTTCATGTGGGATACCATCAAAAGGAATAACCTACGTGTCAATGGAATTCTAGAACAGGAAGAGAAAAATAAAAACACTGAGAAAATTGTCTAAGATTTGTTGGAGGAGAACTTCCCTGATATGATGAAAGATGGGAATATATCCATTCAGGAAGTCTAACAAACCCCAAACCGGACAGACCCCAAAAGAAAATCACCAAGACATATCATCATCAAACTCATCAAAACCAAAGGCAAAGAAAGAATCCTGAAAGCAGCATGGGAAAAACAAAAAGTTACTTACAAAGGACAGCCAGTAAGAATAAGCTCTGATTTCT